ATTAGAAAACAATTCTAACTTGGTCCTATATGATTAATTATTCTAATATTATTGCAGTGTCTGGAGCCAAGGTGTAATGACTATGCCTGACCACTGAAGGAAGGCCATAAGGCCGGAATGTGCTTGGTCAGGGTCACATCTATATATCTAATAGCGAAGTCGCCCCCTGCGTGTGGATACTTATTTCCGCACATCGGGGGCACCTGGGGGGGAGGGAGATGTTTGTGCACACTTGGGGCAGTCCCCAGGTGTGCACAAAAATCTGAAACCTGTAAAAAAATATTGGGGGATACTTAAATCCCCCAAAAGTGACAGAGCGGGGGGGGGCAGCGAGGCCCGGATGGCTGCAAGCCGCCGGGCCTTGCTTCTGAGGGGGGGGAGATCGAGCTGGGGGGGTGGAGGAGACGGGGGAACCGGCGGGATGGGGGGGAACTTACCTCCTCCTGCTGCTTTCTCCTCTTCCTCATAGGTATGGAGTTCCCCCTCCCGCGAGTATCGCGGGTCCCGCCCCTTGTAGGGTCTAAATTTGAGATGACGGTATGATTTTAATTTGAATTGAGGCTATATTTGGGCCTGTAATTGGTACTTTTCGTATATGTGATAAATATTTACATTTTATATTCAGTTACTGAATTACTGGGCCCTTAAATTTGGATTCATTTAATCTTTCTGGTTCTTAATTCGCTTTTTTGGGGGTTTCTCCCCCCTTTTGTCTTCCTCAGCCACATGTGCCAGTTTCTCTGCCCCAGTCCCTGCAGAGGCCACTTCCATCCACCAGAGGGCTTTTTATTTTTGTTTTAAATTGACAACTGACTATCTTTATAGCATTCAGGGTGGGCAGCCATGTTGTTCTGAGGCAACAGAACGAAGTTTGAGCCTGGTGCCATTTTTAAGACCAACAAAGTTGAAGTTTATACCCAGAATTAAACTTTGTTGATCTTCAAGTTTCACTGGACTCAAACTTTGTTTTGTCTTTATAACATTATAACAATTTGTCCCATCAGATTCTTTGAATTCCCAGATTCTGTTTTTATTTTTACAAGTCTCTAGTCCTTTTCATTGTGGAGGCAGACCTTTCCCCTCATAGGGGGCTAATGTGGTATCTGACGAAGGGAGTTTTGACTCTTGAAGGCCCATACCCTGAAAATCTTGTTGGTCTCTGAGGTGCTACTGGATTCGAACCCAGCTCTTCTGCAAAGTCAACAAACTATACCTAAATGACAGTGTAAAGCGACTGAACCACGGATTAAAAACAACTGAAATTGCTCCCAGTGTTTGGGTTGCCAACTTCCAAGTGGGGCCTAGAGACCTACCGGAATTACAATCGGTCTCCGGACAACAGAGATCCATTTCCCCTGGAGAAAATGGCAGCTTCGGGGTTGGGTGAATTCTATGGCATTATACCCTGCTGGATTTCATCCCCTCCCCAAATCCCACCCTCTACCTCCAAATCCCCAACAAGAAATGCCAAATGTTCAAGATTGGATTCAGAAAAGGAAGAGGCATTAGAGATTAAAACTGCAAATTTATGTTGGCTACTGGAGCATACAGGAGAATTTCAGAAGAAAATCAGCTTGTGTTCCATAGATCACACCACCAAGCTTTTGACTGTGTGGATCCTGCAAAGCTTCGGTTGGTTTTAAAAGAAATCGGTGTGCCAAAACATCTGATTGTTTTGATGCATAGCCTGTACTCCAGACAGGAGTACAGAATGTGGAGAAACAGAATGGTTTCCAATTGGCAAAAGTGTCCCTCTCTCCCTATCTCTTCAGTCTATATGCAAAACATAAGGAAAACTAGATTAGATTTAGATGAAAGTGGAGTGCAAATCGGTGGGATGAACATTAACAATATGAGATATGTACGGTAGATGACACCACATTACTGGCAGAAAGCAGTGAAGACGTGAAACAACCACTGATGACGGTTAAAGAAGAAAGTGGCATAAGAACATAACATAAGAACATAAGAGACGCCAATGTTGGATCAGGCCAAAGGCCCATCCAGCCCAACACTCTGTGTCACACAGTGGCCAGAAATACCAGGTGCCATCAGGAGGTCCACCAGTGGGGCCAGGACATTAGAAGCCCTCCCACTGTTGCCCCCCCCAGCACCAAGAAGACAGAGCATCCCTTGCCCCAGAGCCCCTATCTATACCTTGTGGCATAAGAACATAAGTGCCGACGCAGGATTAAAGCTGAACATCAAGAAGGCAACAGTAATTACTGTGGAGGAATTACACGACTGTAAGGTTGACAATGAAGAAATTTAAATTGTTCAAGATTTTCTGTTTTTTGGCTCCATCATCAACCGAGAAGGAGACTGCGCCCAAGAAATCAGGAGGAGTCTGGGCCCTTAAATCCGGATTCAGTTTGGTGTAGTGGTTAAGTGCGCAGACTCTAATCTGGGAGAACCGGGTTTGATTCCCCACTCCTCCACTTGCACCTGCTGATGTGACCTTGGGTCAGTCACAAGCTCTGGCACAGCTGTCCTTGAAAAAAAGAGCAGTTTCTGTCAGAGTTCTCTCAGCCCCACCCACCTCACAGGGTGTCTGTTGTGGGGAGGGGAAGGGAAAGGAGGTTGTAAGTGGCTCTGAGACACCTTTTGGTAGTGAAGGGTGGGCTATAAATCCAATCTCCTCTTCTTCTTCTTCTTTTAACTGGGTCTTCTCCCCCCCCCCTTTTTTGTCTTTCACATTGAGGAGACTGAGACCTGGGCCATGAAGGTGCTAGAAATGACTCTTAAGTGTAAATGTGTCACTGGCAACCAGTGTTCCCTCTAAGATGAGTTAGTGTGAGCTAGCTCCAGCTCACACCTTTTTGTCTTAGCTCAGGCAGGATGGCTCCAGAGCAGTAGCCAAATCATTCACTCACAACTTTAATGCCACTAGTCATTTCCTAGAAAAAGAGGTGAGGAGCTCATTCGCATAACTTATTAGCACAACTTATTTGCATATGCCACACCCCCTGACATCACTGGAAGTGTGTCAGAAGGAAACACCCACCGCTCAGGCTCCACTGGACTGTTTTGGATTGCTAGCTATTGGGGGGGGACGGGGGACGTGCAGATCTGTCCTGACAGAGGAGGGAGAGCTTGTACCTGAATAAAACCTGGTCTTAAGGGTGCCACTGGACTGTTTTGGACCGGGGGCTGGAGCTCTGCAACTTACCTGGCTGCTTCCTGCTCTGACTGAGGGCTGCTGGGAGCAGGGGGTGGGGCTTGTTGCATGTGCCCGCCCCCTGGGCTCTTTACTGCTGGAGCTCCACTCCTGTGCACTCCTGCAGGAAATGACCCCTGCCACTAGCTCACAAAGTAGAATTTCTGCTCACAAGACTGCACAGCTTAGAGGGCGCATTGCTGGCAACCAAGATCAAAGTAGCAATGAAGACTGCTTGTAGGGCTGCCAAGTGGGGGCGCGTGGCAGGTAAACTCTGCCCCCTGAAGCGCAGCATGGCTGTGTCACCAGAGATGACGCAACCATGTCGCCCACGTTGGGGGCGTGGCCCGGATCGTCAGAGGGAAAACTCTATGGTTTTCCCTCCGACAATTGGGGCCACACCCTCAACGTGATCGACGTAGCGCGTCACTTCCTGTAACGTGCTGGCGGCACACGCGAGCGCGCATAGTATGCGCGTGCATCTGGAGACAGCTCCCGGAGCCCGGCAAGACTCCCCGGTGAGTTTTTTTGACTTGGCAACCCTAATTGCTTGTGGGATATATTTTGGGAATGCACAAGGGCCTGGTTATCCCCTGAATGTAGAGGTGTACAGTACATAATGTTATTGTATTAAGAATTGTTGTAAACCCCGAGCCTGCTCGTGGGGAGGAAGGCATATAAATAAATAAATAAATACTCCTCATGACTACTCATGGGGGTGAAAGTTGGGACAATGAAGAAAGTAGATTCCTTTGAAATGTGGCGCTGGAGGAGTGTTAGGGATACCGTGGACCGCCAGAACAGACAAGCAAGTGGGTTCTACATCAAGCCGAGCCTCGACTCTCCCCGGAAACTAAAATGACTCAACTGAGGCGATAGTCTTTTGGTCACCTTATGAGAAGCCAAGAGTCGCTGGAAAGGACAATGATCCAACACGAGGCGGATTGACTCAGTCAAGGGAGCCGCGGCCCTCAGTCTGCAAGACCTGAGCAAGGCTGTTCATGAGGGGCCGTTCCGGAGGTCATTCGTTCACAGGGCCGCCGCCAGTGAGAAGCGGTGCTCCCTCTAAACTGAGTGAGTGTGAGCTAGCTCACAGTTTCTTAGCCTCCGGCCCACACATATTTTGTCTCAGCCCAGGAAGGGACGGCTCCAGAGCAAACTAATTCACGCAGCGGCCAAATCGCTTGCTCACAACTTTAACGCCAGGAGCTCACAAAGTCGGATTTTCGCTCACAAGACGCCACAGCTTAGAGGGAGCTTTGGTCAGAAGAACAGCGACTTGAGGACACATGTTGGCAACCCGAGGCCTGGCCTCTGATGGAGGAGCCCCTGCAGGGAAACGAAGGGGAAACCTGCCAAGCAGAAGCGCGGCTGCTGCACACCAAGCCCCTTCCCCGGCGGGGCAAAACACTCCCACCTGGACGGAGGAGCAGAGGCCGCTTTGCGCCGCAGTCCGTCCGCCGTTTCCTCCCCGCACTTTCTCCTCCCCGGCGGGCTGCCCCTTCTTGGCTCTGCCCCGGGTCGTTCCTCCGCCTTCCCTCGTGTCCCATAAGCAAGGGGCAGAAAGGCGCCCTCTCTCCAAAGGGGGCGCTCGGCCCGGCCGGTCTCCTCCTCCTCCCCGGGACTGGCGCCGGACTGTGGAAGGTCCCCCGCTCCCAAGCGGCCACGGCAGCGCACCTCCGCCGCCGCCTTTCCCCTCCCACCGCCCCGCCTCGTCTCCCAGGCGCCCTCCGGATGTCTCCACTCGCCCAACTTCCCAACTTGCGCCCTGGGGCGGCGAGGGCTCCCTCTCTCGCTCTCGCTCTCTCTCTCGAGGGCCCGCCCGTTTCCGGCCGCCCGAGAGGAGGAGGTGGAGGTCGAGAGAGAGGGAGCCCCGCCTTCGGCCCCCGAGCGTCCCGGGTGCCTGGCTGTCGGCGGCGGCGGCCGGGCGGCATGAAGCCCGACGGCAAGGTGGTGCTGCTGGGGGACATGAACGTGGGCAAGACGTCGCTGCTGCACCGCTACATGGAGCGCCGCTTCCAGGGCACCGTCAGCACGGTCGGCGGCGCCTTCTTCCTCAAGCAGTGGGGGCCGCACCACATCTCCCTCTGGGACACGGCAGGCCAACGCGGGGAGGGGCCCCGGGCGGGCGGGCTTGGATGGCGCGCAGGGGCGCCGCTCCTCTTCCTCCCCGCGCCGCGCAAGGGCGCTCATGGGGGCTGGGCCACTCTGATCGTATTCCTGGCCTTCCCTTCAAAGCGTTCCAAGTAACCCAGGTAGGGAACTTCTGCTGCCCTGGAGAAGCCCTCGGGAAGATTCAAAAAGTAACCCAGGTTGTTTGGGGAAACGATAGGTAATGCTCTGGTATGTCTGCCCTTGGCACAGTGCTGTTAAATACTTCTGGGCCCTGTTATTTGAAAGAAGGGTTTAACTTTACTGGGATTACACACCTAGGTTGGAGCTCAGTAGCACATCAGAGACCAACAAGAGATTGAGGGCATACATTTTCAAGCGTCAAAGCTCTCTTTGTCGAAGACCTCTCGACAGCTTTGAGTCTCCAAATCTTACCCCCAAGATCTTGTTCTCCAAGGTGCTAGTGGACTCGAAATCTAGCTGTTTTACTGCAACACGGCCCACCCTCTGAAACTCCCTTGGATTACGCCTGAAGGTTTTGTATGTAATATTGTTCATTTGTTTGTTTGTGTATTTAATTTTATTTATTTATATCTGAATGGACATGTCTGTTCCTTGAGGCTGCGAATTCCCCACGAGAACCGTTTCTAACATGGAGTTGAGCAGTCAGTTTGTGTGGTGGGCCCAGGTTTCTAGATTTTATGGCTAGCGAAACGTTTGAAAGCGAGCGAGCGATGCCTGGAGCATTAGGCCAGTGCATTTATAAGTCTTCCATTCTGTGTATGCTACGTTCTAACCCACCAGGTCTGTAAGCCATCCAGATCTCATTGGAGGAAGACCTGGTTAAAAACCTTCTAAATTATAATAGTGCTTAAACACTGACTTTGGCTAAATCGGCAATAGATTACATGTTGTTAAAGCTCTCAGTCTGCTGTCAGTTTAATGGATCCCTGACCCCCAATTTCTGTGTTGCTCTGGATTTGCTGAGTATGAGAGACCAAGGGAAAGTGTTGGGTCAGGGAGGCTAAGCGTGTGTGCAAAGTGTGAGAGACCAGATTGTGGCCACTGCTTCTGGGATGCAGAAGTAACCGGAGATGGCTTCAACTTACCAGGTTCCTTGATTTCTGGTGCGTGATAAATTATAATAGTGCTTAAACACTGACTTTGGCTAATTCGGCAATAGATTACATGTTGTTAAAACTCTCCGTTTGCTCTCAGTTTAATGGATCCCTGACCCCAATTTCTGTGTTGCTCTGGACTTGCTGAGTATGAGAGACCAAGGGAAAGTGTTGGGTCATGGAGGCTAAGCGTGTGTGCAAAGTGTGAGAGACCAGATTGTGGCCACTGCTTCTGGGATGCAGAAGTAACCGGAGATGGCTTCAACTTACCAGGTTCCTTGATTTCTGGTGCGTGAGCATATGTACCTCTTAAACCAAAGGAGTGTTTTGGTCTCAGAGTTTCCTTGTTCCTCGAAAGGAATTTTTTGCTCAGTTCCACCCGTCCTCTGCAGGGACAGCTTAGGGTGTTTTGCTCTTGCCCCCACCCAGAAACCAGAGGAGGCAACTCTCTCACCTGTTTGCTGCTTTTGTCGTCTTTAAAAATAGCCCTGTCGGGTGTCCTGAAACTCTGCAAGGTTGCTTCTTCTCTCAGCTACTGTTTTGGTTCACCTGGCCAAAAGGTAACCTGGTGGGCCTTGTGATTGGTCAGGAACTGTCGTGTGGAGCCCCTGAAGCAGTCCGTGGGAGAGAGGGGGTTGGGAATACGACGTGTTCCAGCTCCTGGGTGGGGGGCAGCGAATGGGCAGCAACAGGGGAGACGGGATGTTGCCGCCCCTCAAATCTGCCCCCTTGGGTGACTGCCTCAGGTCACTTCATAAGAGCCATGCTTGGTCATTTGAGGGGGACAGGGTGGCAAATGTCACTTCACTTGGCTCTTGAATGCTTAGTAGATGCACCTGCGTGTAGAGGTGTTGAAAACACATAATTCAGGGGTCATTTCCTGCAGGAGTGCACAGGAGCGGAGCTCTGGCAGTAAAGAGCCCAGGGGGCGGGCACATGCAACA